ACACACACACACATAAACACAGATTTGGCGGTTTTGGTCCATTGTTAGAGTCAGTATGTACTGTATTTGTTCTGTATTTGTTCTGTATTAATGAGGTCAGTGTTGGTTATATTGATCTGATGCACTCTGCGTCTTATTTCCTTCAGGATAGTCATCTACTTCCACAGTCAGGTGGTGGACGGTCAGAGGAAGATCATCAACTTACTACAGGAGCAGATAGAAAATGTAAGACATCACCTACAAGTAATGTTTCTCAATATATGTCATCATAAAGATAAAAGCTACATTTCATCTCTCTGCTCAGGAAGGAGAGGATAAGAAGTTTCTGATCACTCGCCTCCAGTCTATCCATGAGCAAAAAAAAACCCCCACCCGAAGACTCACAAGTCAGGTCAGTCTTTGCGGCTCTACAACAGCACTTTTTGCCTGAAGCTAAAACAATCTGTATACACTGACCTCCTGTGTGTTGTTTTGTTTTCCCTCTAGGACTCAGGCTGCTGAGATCCCAGCCTCTCCAGTAGACAAGCCTCCTCAATTGTCTGAGCACTGAGGTCTGGAGTGATCTTAACCCCATTATAGACAGGGAAGGACAACTGTATGACCAAATTCAAATGCATTTGGTAGATTTTAAATTTGTTGAGGATTGTAATGGACATATCAGGTGAAACAAAGCTGTCTGCTTTATACAGTGCTGTTTAAAGAGGAAATGGCGACATTAAATGATACAGACAGAACCTGAAAAATGTTAAAGCTGATGCCAACAGTTTTTATAGATTTCAGTCATCTCTCATAGAAGCACTTTTCATATCAACTGTGAACACATTTTTTAAAGTTTATATATAGTTTTCTGGTAAAAAAAATGTATGTAGTCATAAATGTTTTTTTATGCTTTTAATTTTTTAAAGTACGTATGTTGTAGATAAACATTGGATGTTGTGGATGTGAGCATGATAATACTGGAAAGGACTTCTTGTTTTTCGTTTTTGCTTTAGGCTGATAATTACCACTGTATTGTCATACTTTTGGGATTAAATTATGTTTTATCATATCAGCTTGTATTTGTATTTATTAGTGCTTATGTAAGGTGTGGGTACTACTACAGCACAGGAAATATTTGTTACAAACTCAACTGCCTGAAAAACAATATGGATGTGATTTGTACTATCAGCATACAGTTTTTGTTTTTTTCCCCACAAACATGCAAATAAAAAAGTACAATGTATGGAGACACCAGTTCAGTAACCGTATCTGAATGTAAGACATATAAAAGATATTTTCAGTAGAAAAATAAATATATAAGCACTCTTAAGTAGCCTGAAGAACAAAGAAATAATCTTAATCTTTGTACCTTTTATTAGTAAATATTACCCATTAAATTATAATTCCAAACTGAGAAAAAGCAGCATATTTGGTGGAGGGTAGAAACAGCAGCACCATGGATGGATTTCTGATTGTAATAGTCAGAGTCGACAGAAGAGAGCACCAAATCCCCACAAAACAGTCCAGTGCCTTCCCATCAAAACTACCACCATGACAGTCTCACCTGCACAGACATGATGTACGGTACATATTTACTGTATATATATACACACTGTACCCACCTGTTTTATGTATTTGTGTACACCTCACAATAATAGCATATCTACAGTGTGGACCCCAGCAAGACTAGCTGTGCTTTAGGACGCAGCTAATGGGGATCCTAACAAATAAACACATACAGTATATATCTGTCTATGTCTTAAAACAAAGAGCATGTGATCCCATTACAACAGTTCTGGTTTGATTGTATTTGACTCAACAATCAGGCACTTTTTGTTCAGTCTTTTAAACAGCTGTGTTTTGTTTGTTGTTCATGGAAGACGGTGTTTTGAGGGTAAGAGGGTATGAGAAAACTATCAAGTTTTCTCATTCGAGTTCTGTTTTCATGTTCCTTGTCTTCCATTTATTTGCTGAACAGCTCACCGACATTACATTAACACTGCTGCACTTAAAAGAAAAGCAACTCAGTTCCCGTTGTTGAGCATGCCCAGTAGCGCCCTGGGGTCCATCCCCTGCTGCTGGGCCATCTTCTGCACGTCAAAGCCCATGTGCTTCAGGAACTGGATCACGCTCATCTCCTGTCCCGTCAGCTGGTCACGAATAGTCGGGCAGGAAGGATTGCAGTGAGGCCACGGGCAGCTGTCAATCAAATGTAGAGGGCAACCCCTTATGGGTGGGGTCTTGTGCTTTTGGTTGCTGTGGCTGCCGTTGGTGTGGTTGCTGTCTTGGAGACTGCGGTCCCAGCAGTGGAGGGCTCTGGGCAGGGAGGTGCCTTTCACCTGAATGTCCATCCAGTAGCTGCAGGGACATCACGCAGAGATAGAGGGTCAGAGACAGAGGAGAAAGAACACATATAACTTCACAAATCCTCTCAAAAACATCACTAAAGTTTATATATGTTGTTACAAATAAAGTAAAATGTACAGTTTGTGTACTTACATAGATTCTTTGTGTATTGTTCTATATGATTATGGGTCCTGTCATGAGGATTAAATTAAAATGTAACACTATATGGTAGGATTGGGCTATATGATAAAATAAAATGTGACAGATTTTGTGTTATACTGTGCTATGACAGATTGGCTGATAGTAATTTATTTACATAAACGCATAACATACATCAGATTTTTTGATAAGGCCCCCTTAAATTTCGTTTAACGAATAAACTCGTCAGTGCTCTCTGGTGGACAAAGTATGTAAAAGTGACACTGTGTCTAAAGTATCTTGAAACTCTGGCAATTTATTATTATTTAGTTATTTACATCTATGCAGATATATCATATAATAAAAGTTTTGATTTACTTACGTTCTAGTAATGAGTTCGTGTGACAGACAGGCCGGAGCAAACATCGCCCTGCCAATAAAAACACAGAATCACACAGTAAAGAAAACAGTTTTTTTTTACTTGACTGTATCGTGTGTGTGTGTGTGTGTGTGTGTGTGTGTCAGTCTTACGGCACGTCGCGCAGCGTGCTCCTCAGTTCCTGTCCCAGGTTCTGTATGTACCTCCATTGGCCCTCATGGACAGGGTGTTCGGTCAGGTGGATGTTGTCGACCGCCAGCTGGGCCTCGTCAAACAGCCACTGCACCACAAACACCGGGCCTGGACAGGAGAGAGGACGTGCTGCAGGTCAGACCAGATGACACACACCAGCCTCCGTCTTTACCTTGTGGAGAAGTCACTCACTTTTTAACGTGGGGTAGACTTTATACCCAAAGAAACAGTTCCACTCCTCTCCCACGTGAGCCTGTCTGCAGCTCTCTGGCACCAAACCGCCCCAGTACCTGCACAACAGCAAAGTATCATCACAAAATCTGTTTAATCCCCCAGCAGTCCATCCATCTGCCCTTTCAGCTGTCCACCTGTCCTACCTGATGCCTTTCTTTATGCCCTCAGTCGGGGCACAGCTGATGGTATCCAGGCAGTCTGTGAATTTGAACTGTTTGTTGTCCAGGAACCATCCGGAGTCTGCCAGACCCCTGACCTGAACTCCCCGGTGGCCCTGAGACTGCAGCTGCTCTGCCACATGGTCCACGTTCACCAGGACACCTGTACCGCCCGCACTGGTGGCAGGAAGAGTGGGATCAGAGGGTGTTACTGAGCAACTATCACACATACAGTACAGTAGGCCACACACACACACACACACACTGAACTGACCTGCTTCCCGCCAGGAGCAGAACCTTGGCGTTGTCCAGACCTTTTGTCAGCAGCTCGTTCACCACCTCCTTAATGATCAGAGAGCCCATGAACGCATAATCACCTGAGAACAAAAATGTTATTTATTTAGTAACATACAGCCATATGACACAGCTCTGGCTCTTGGGCTAAGACAACGGGAGTTTATTCAAGTCACAGCTAGAAACTACATGTGTGATCACCCAACACAAAAGAATGAATGAATGGGTATATTTAAAGGACCAGTGTGTAGGATTTAGTGGCATCTAGCAGTGAAGTTTCAGATTGCTAACAGACTACCGCTGCCGTCTGTATTTGATGACCTGGGAATGACAGCAGGCTGTGTTTAGGAGAACCTATGGTGACCACAAAACTCAACAGCCCTATCTACAGCTAGTGTTTGGTTTGTTCGTTCTGGGCTACTGTAGAAATATGACAGAAAGGGCCTGCTGTGTCTGTAGATAAAAACAGCTCCTTCTAAGGTAACAAAAACATAATGCTTTCAGGCGATTATACACTAATCAAACATAGTTATGAATATTAGATTCCATGTCTGTCAATAGATCCTCCTTAATGTTAAACACTGGACCTTTAAACCAAACAGCCAA